CGAATTTCAAAATTGGAAGAGAATTGGTGGTAATCAATGTGTATTTCAAAGTCATGTAGGCAAGCTAAATTCTCCACATCATCTTGCTATGCAAAAGTGGGTTAGCTTAAAAAACTCATCTCTTCATATTGAAAATGTGGTAGATAAGCAATCAAAGCAACAAGTGATGGATAATCGGTTGCGACTTACAACCACAATAGAGGACATTCGGTATCTAGCAAATCAAGTATAGGCTTTTCGAGGTCACGATGAATCCGTTGACTCATCCAACCGGGGCAATTTCATTGAAATCTTAAAGTCTTTTGCAAGAATGAATATAGAAGTTGAGAAAGTTGTTCTAGATAAGGCTCCTCATAATGCTCAGTATATTGCCCATGATATACAAAAATAGATCTTGCATATTTTTGCTACCAAGGTGAAGAAGAAAATTTGTACCGAACTTGGGAAGAACAAATATTGTATTCTTGTTGATGAATCAGGCAAGGAACAAATGACTATTATTCTAAGATTTGTTGATTGTAATGGATTTATTCGTGAACGCTTTGTCGATATTATGAGTGTCGTAGACACTAATGCCTTGACTCTTAAACAAGAGATATGCAAAATGATTGATAATAACGGCATTCTAGTGGAAAACATGCGTGGCCAAGGGTATGATGGTGCTAGTAATATGTGTGGTTCATGGAATGGATTACAAGCATTGTTTCTTCAAGATTGTCCATATGCATATTATGTGCATTGCTTTTCTCATTGCTTGCAATTAGCATTAAATGGTGTGGCTAAAGATGTGAAGGTTGTATGGAGATTTTTTTCAATGTTGACTAACATTGTGAATTTTGTTAGTGCTTTTGCTAAGCGCTGTAATGAGTTAAATTTAATTCGAAAAGTTGAACTCAAAGAGTTGTTGGATTCTAGGGAATTTGAGACAGGTAGAGAACTTAATCAAGGTCATAGTTTGAAACGAGCTAGAGCCACTCGTTGGGGATCTCATTTTGCCTCTATTACAAGTTTAATGAGTTTATTTAAAGAGACTAAAATACTTCTTCAGGAAATCAGTGAACATGGACCTAACCAACAATTTCGTGGTGATGCAGAGAGTAACTATATTGCTATGATGTCTTTTGAGTTTGGGTTTGCATCGCTTTTGATGGATAAAATTATGGGATTGACCAACTTTCTCTGTCAAGGGCTTCATAAAAAAACTCAAGATATTGTAAGTGCTTTAAACTTTGTTGAAAACACAAAATCACAGTTCCAAGATATGAGGGCACATGGCTGGGATGATTTATTCATGAGTGTGGTATCATTTTGTGAACAACATGGTATTGATGTTCCTGATATGAGAAGATTTTATTACAGTTGAACATTACTATCGCATTGATGTATTTAATGATGTGAGAGATTGCATATTGAGGGAGTTACATGACAGATTTCCAGAGCAAACAGTTGAACTTCTTATTCTTAGCTCAGCATTGGATCCTCGTAATTCCTTCAAATCATTCAATATTGGGCATCTATGTAAACTTGCTGAGAAATTATATCCTACTGATTTCAGTCCAAGTGACTTGAAAGGTTTGGAAATTGAGTTGAGGTATTTTCAAAATGATATGCATCGACTTCCCTGCTTTAAGGACCTCACCACTCTTCCTCAGTTATGTCAACAATTGGTGGAAACAACTTTGGCAAAAAACTACCATTTGCTTTACAGATTGATTCAGTTGGTGTTGACTCTTCCTATTTCTACAGCAACAACGGAACGAACTTTTTCATGTATGAGAATTATTAAGAATAGACTTCGAAGCACCATACCTAATGAATTCCTTGTTGATTGCATGATTCTCCACATTGAAAGAGAGTTTGCTAATAGTATCAATAATGAAGAGATAATTGAGGAATTTAAGATTTCTAAGTCTCGTAGGGTACAATTTTAGATTAAAATAGTTTAGTTTTTGTGTTGCACTGCATTTACTTCTTTTTTTTATTTTTTTTATTAAGCTTTTATTTATGTAAAGATATGCATATTTGAGGGTAAAGCTCATTACGTCCCCCCTGACTGGGTGTATCTTTTTATTTTTATGAATAAAATTCACTCGTACCATCGAATTTTTAAAGTAAGTTTCACCTACCTGACTTTTGAATCCTGAATCCGCCACTGGTTGAAGGGTAAGAGTCTCAAGAGCCTTTTCCAAGGGATGCCTAGAGGATGGTGTGTTGAGCGGTGAGAGAGGAGAGGGTCTGTTGAACCTCAAGAATTTGCTCTGTGTGTAAGTCCACCTCTAATTTGATGGCAGGGATGGAAAGAGAGGAGCTGGCCACAAGACTGCCCATTGTCGTGGCTGCTCTCATACCAATGATAGGCATCAGTACAAAGTATTGAAAACGAAGGAAATGGAAGTGACAAATAAGAAACAGACAAAGTTCTATCCCGCTTTCTCATTGATGCTGTAGTAATTTATACAAAAGTTTGTTAGGGCCAGCCTGTAGGCTGCCATATAAGAAAAGGTAAACAGCTAATCCATAAGGATAGAATGGCTAAAGTAACTTTTGAGGAAAGCCTAACGACAACAGATAGTGACTAGGCGAGTAGTGATCCATCCATGAGGATCAGGGGTTTCGTCATGTATGCTAGCTCCTATAGAAGTCCTTAAACAAACTTCCCTAAATGATGATAAAAATGCTTACCATACCAATGTAAGAATTTGTGCACAAACTTAGTTACCCCATGTATTGTACGTACATATCCTCCTGGCTTGCATCATCAGTTTCCGTACATCCTCATGTATTTATAATATTTGCTTAACATAAAATACGATATGTGTGTGTATAGAGTAGTTTTCTCCTTTGAATTGACGAGTTCTAAAATTCTAGATAAGTCATTTTCTACCATTACTATCGCATTGATGTATTCAAACGTTCTCATTTTTTTCTTTGTAGTCCTTGTACACTTCTCAATCAAATTAAATTACAGATAACATACTCCACTGCACGTGAGTTCCTTTTTCTTTTTTTTCTTTTTTAAATAATTAAAAAATAAAGATTATAAACAAAGTTTATTTGAAGCTTGAGTTATATTTATTGCTTGCCTTCTTCTTAATTTCTGTATATATATTTTTTTTTCCAAATAACTGAGTAAGTACCTACTTAGTTTTCAAATTGAATACAAGGGCAAATTTAGCATAGACATAATGTTATATCATCTGGTCAACAAATTACATCCATGCATATTCTTATGGCATTATCAACGGACGTCATGGCCTACGCATCAAATGATGCTATCTGATGTTTAATTACGTGACCCCAGCCATAATATCTAGGCTGCTAATTAAGCTAACCATTGTTGTAAATTAATTGGTGCTTCCTTAATTTTGATTACTTTTTTCTAATCAAAGTAATGAACCATAAATTTGAAGTTAAATCCAGCAAGTAGCATGCGTACGTCGAGGTTAATTTCATTTTAATTAATCTTGAAGTTAATTACTAGGGTGACATGAATTGCATGCATGTCTCTCTGCACATTCACGTCCAAAATGAAATTCTCACTTGGCATCCCTAGTCACTTATACATCATTATTTATCTGGTTTATTTATTTATTTAAAGGATCATCGTTAGCACTTTTCATTATAACAACAGTGCTCAGATCATGAAATTTGTGTCGGTGCACATGTGAATTGCTTTAAAAAAAATAAATGAGATTGAGACTCTGAGCTAAATTTAAATGAAAACCGAATCATTTGGTGAGCAAAATTTATATGAACAATGGCCAAGTACTTTTATTACTTGATTACAAGCTAATTGGTCATTATAACTAGAGAAGCTTCCGGATAAGGCTTTGACCATTTCCAGTCAAGCTTTCAAAACCTTCAGAGAAATAGCGGTTTCAAATTTGAACTTTTTTTTCTTGTTGGAAAATATATTGTATTGAACAAATTTCATAAAAAGTGTATAATGTTAATGGATAATTATAATAGTTAATTCACAATTCAAAAGTGGCGATCAAGAATAAAAGTAGAATCTTAAAAGATTCGTGACCTAAATGCAATCACTGGGCAAAAAAAATACAAAATTATAGAAACAAATACATAGCAATACACGACTTACTCTCAGTTTCAAATTTGAACTTTGAAGTTGTTGGGTTAGAACACAAAAATTCATGCATATCGAGAGCCAAAGATATTTGTTAAGGTTTAGAGTAGCTAACTAGGATTTTATGCATCTAGCACATGTTGGGAAGGGGTTTAGATTCACCAATTCTACTCTCCTTTCACAAGTAACACATGAATGACCTAAGAATCATTCAAGGGGTTAATAACCATAAGTTGACTAGGACATATACCATGTTCTAGGACTTGTGTGATTATCATATTCTCATAGAGGTTAATGACTCTTGTATGCTTTATTCTAAGTAGATACCATGCTTAGTTGCATATTAGAGATTACGTGTTGTGTAGATACCATACACAATTACATGCCTTAGGAGAATCATGTATCCTGCACCTAGATACCGTAGGCTTGTATGCGATAATCTATTGTGATGAAGCTTGAGTCAATTTCTATGCATTCATAATTTGGATAGGAAAACTAGTGGTGGATTCCAAGACTCTAACACCTCTCAATTATTGTTTCATAATCTGTCCAGTGTTTACTTTCGAGCACTTTCATTTCACTTTCTTCTTTTCATTTCAACAACAAAACCCCCCATTTTGAGTGCATGTGTGGTGCTAGGATTCTGTCCTAGACCTTAAGTAATTAGCAAGAGGCATTGTTGAATTCGACCTTGCCTTTAGTTAGTTAGTCAGTTTCTTTGTTTTCTTTTTTTCTAGCATTCTAAGTAATTTAACTTGGAACCAAGTTACCATTCTCAGTGGGATCGACCTTGTATTTACATAAGCTATACTATAAACAGTTCGTGCACTTGCGAGAATTAAAGTTGCTATTTTTAATAACTCATTCTAGTTGTTAAGAATTGAATCAACAATCAAGAGAACCGAATGACAAACTTTTTTTAAAGGGATGGAAGGTCCAGACTTGATTATGAGTGCTTTGGGGACGTGATCGTATTTGATACTACATATCAAGCCAACAGGTACAACATGATTTGCGCTTTTTTTGTAGGGGTTAACCATCATTGGCATAATGTGTTATTTGGCTGTGCTTTTTTGTTGGATGAAAAGATTCCTACATTTCAGTGGTTGTTTGAGACATTCTTAGAATCCATGGGAAATCAAAAACCAGTAACCATTTATACTGATCAATATCAAGCAATGACAAATGCCATCTCCACATTTTTTTCTTGGGACATGTCATCGTTTATGGACATGGCACATATCAAGAAATGCAACAATGAAGTTAGCAAGTTCCTATGCCATTCCAGAGTTTAAGAGGTTATTCAACAAGTGTCTTGAAGGAGGTGAGACAAAGTCTGAATTTGAGTGTACTTGGAATGAAATGATTTCAAAGTTTGACCTTGCAGATAACACATGGTTGATAAGTTCATAATTTCATACATTCGCATGACTTCTTTACTTAGTGACTTTGCTTAGTTTCTCTTTCTTTTGAGTCACTTACCTCTTTTTGTTTGTTTTGTAGGTTAAGACAGCAAGAGATCACATTTTATGCAATCCATGCTTGTTAAGGGCTGAATGGGATAAGAGGAATATGAGCTTAAAGACAAACCCAATTTGGGCCACACTCCTTGTCAGTCCAATTTCGTGGGTCATCTTGCAGTCCTCATTTCAGCAACTTACACAGGACGGATGAAGAGACATCCTCGATAGAAGTTGTTCCAATGGGTGTCTATTATCACATATCCAAATTTCAGCCCAATTGGATAAATCTGGAGCCCTCAGCAAGTCAAAGACTTAACCAAGTTCACAGAAATGTCATGTTAGCTGCCATCACATTTCAATGTGTCTTCATCCCTAGAGCCATGTGCTAAGTATGGGCAGTCACACATGGGAGTCAAATGAACTCAGAAACTCAGAAGGATTCCATTAAAAAAACCATACCAAAGTATGTATTTGGCAGCTGGAGCAGGTGGCAAGTATGGGCATCTGGAGCAGGTGGCAAGTATGGGCTGCTGGAGTTGTTGGGAGCAGCTATGAAAGGTGTGCTTCACCAGCCAAAGGGGAGGACGAAATTGCACTTTATAAATAGAGGGCTGCACACTCATTCAAAGAGGGAGAGTCAGATACACATTTTCACTTCATCAATTACTCTCATACACAAATTCAGATTCACCATAAAGAGAGAAGAGAGCTTGGAGATGTCCTGGGAATTACTTGCTGCCATTATCTAGTTCTTCTCCTTTCTTTATCCTATCTATGTATTTCTTATTTTCTGTATTCATAGTTATGTCTAACTAA